ATTGATAAAAAAACAAGTAAAACTTCCGAAGGTCTAGAAGAAAAGCCAGAAAAGGCATCGGGTGTGGCTTTGATTATCGATTACCGATTGCTATGGGAATATACTGGCATTAATCTGATAACTTTATCAAAAGTGGAGAGAACTTATGGCTTTAGTGGTCGTTGACTTATCAATATTTTTATAATGTAACTGCCGTTTGGCAATTTTTTTATATATCTTTGACATTGGGCTCTGCCCATTAATAAAAAAGGGGACAGTGGACTTTCAATTTTCTTTGTTTTAAAATATTGTATTCTCTCAAAATTATTTAAACCGATTTTTTTATTGTATTATATATAGGTCTGATTCTTCTTCCTATATTTTAAATAAAATTTGTTAAATATCTATTTATACATAGAAAAGATATTTTATATATTTGAATGTATCTTCTCCAAAATTATATGAGTCCAATGGATTTCCATAATTCTCTTCTTCAATATTGGTCAATATCGCATTTCTAATTCTTTTACTGAAAACCATATTTTTATTTAATAAATACCTTTCTACTTTTATAAGCTCATCAAATATTATTAATATATTGTTATATATAGGCTCAATTTTATTGTCATTTATATCTGATTTTCTATGGCATCTGTCTAGCTTCTCCAATAAATAATAGTATTTTGTATTAAAGTTTTTACGCCTCTTATAAAGTTCACGACAAATTTTCTTATACCATGTGCGGTTAATTTAAATATAGTTATCTAGATCCTCTAATGGAAGTTTTGAGACAATTTCAACAATAATATCTGGAAGTGTAAGTGGGTTTTATGTATGCATATTGTGTATTTTCAAACATGTGGATTTTATTAACTAAGACTTTTTATTTAATTGTTATATTTATTATCGTTCGATCATAAAAAATATATAAACATTGCAATAAGTAGAACAATTTAGTGGGGTATTCTATGAAGTAGGACACTCTGTGTCTATTCTTTCAGAATTTCACAATCACTATATAGGTGCGTTGTAATCCCATCTTGATCTATCCACAATTTTGTATCTAATGGATTAATACTTCTCTTTGTTTGTGATATCCTATACATTTAATGTCTGTAACTTCGGAGGAATTGAGCGGTTTGTGGTTGATCCTCTTTTCCTTCTAAAACATAATCTTCGAATATTTTATATATAAGCTCTTTCTTGATAAGAGACTTTTTAAGACTCTTTGCTTTGATCATATTTTTTTGTGGATTTTTTGTAATAACACTATAACATTTCGCTCTAACTCCGACATAACCAGTAACTCTAATATCTGCATTTTCATCCTTCCATTTACCTATAACTTTGGTATTTTTTAAAACACACTTACCTTCTTCGTTAATTATCCATTGATCTTCTGGAAGATTCTTTATTACCCAATGGTCTTTAGGGTAATCGCTAAAATCAAATAAATCGCAATCATCAACCATGTCTTAATATATATTTTCCATCTCAATTTCTATGATTAGAGAATCTGTATCAGTATATAAAAGTTTTACTTTATCGCCATATTTCTTTTTAAGATATCCATACCAAAAGTCATACATATAATATTTCGATAGATCAAGAATACATGCATCAACATATTCCGGTTTATTGAGTTTCATATTGGTTTGCCTTCGATATACTACAACTAAATTAGCTCCATAGAAAATCTTCCAACTAACAAATGCTGGGTCAGAAATTAATCTACATAATTATCGTTCTTCTCCTACCTGTCTCACTAAATCTATATTTACACGTTTTCTCACATTCTCCATAGTTTTCCCAAATACTGAATTGTTTATTAATTTCCAGAAATCTTTTTCGAATGCATTTTTTGCTTTTGCTCATTGTTGCATATTCATTGCTATATAGGGTTCCATTCAAGGAGATTGTTCAAAACCTAAAACTCTATATACTTTTTCTAAAACATACCCCTCTCTTATACACTGCTATAGATTTCTATAATGAATAACATAATGATCTTTATCATGTAGAGTTAGTATAAGTTTTTCTATATCAGATTGTTGTTTTTCTATTTATTCTTTTTGCTTTAATCCGTACCAATCATATGGTACTTTTATTTGTTCTGGACACATTGGGTAGTCTCGAAACTTTGGTTGTAATTGTTTTGGAATCGATAGTTTAATCTCTAAACAACATCCTCAATTTGATTTTTCTTTTAACGATAAAATTTTCTGTACTAATAGGAAAGATGTCTCGACTGGCTTTGATGTTAACCATTTAAATCCTCCAGTTGGTAGATATTGTGACATTGCCCAACCATAGAGATTATTAGTATCCAAATAAAGTAACCATTTTTTTGCTTTTTTTCCATCATACCCTTCTAATCCTGGAATATTTGCTCGAGTTATATGCCTTTTAGCTAAAGACATTCCTCCTCTCTTCATAGCTGTAAAGAAATCATGCATATCTCCTTAATGCTCATTAAATAATTCTAGCTTAACTTTTGTTACCTTCATATATGCATCCCATGCTAAACCTGGTGCCATTAAATAATTTGCTGGATCGAGTTTGAATGCTGAATAAGATACTTTTCGGAAGGCTTCAAAGGCATCTGCTAGAATTAATACATCAGTCTTAAGATAAATATCATGATAATTACCAAAAGTCTTGCAACCTGTTTCTAGCCAAACTGTTTGTGCAAAATCGTAATCTTTTTGAGATATGGTGTAAAATTTTTTATGTTCATATTCTTTGTTTTCTTCACATTCATTGCAATTACCTGATTCTTTTTTATGCTTACATTTTTTGCATTTATGTTTACATTCTCATATTTTCCTTCCATGCTCACATTTTTCTATTCTACAATTATGATCGCAATTATTATATCTGTCTAAGTCACTATTAAAATCCTTACGTGGCGGTAGTTGTGTCTCATTAAATTTCTCTTTGCTATTTAACCATTGATATGGAAATATTTTTTTTTGTGTAAGTAATAATAGTAAATTAGACGGAATGAACTTTGACATAATAGTGTAAGGGGGTAAGTTGAGACGTGACATATATCACGTGACTGATCGTCACGAAGGGTATCGCGGAAAACCCGTTCTTAGATGGCGATGCACGCTTACCTAATGTGGGGGAAAAGAAGGAAGTAATTGTGAGAAGGGACTTATGTAATAAAAGACTTAGCTTATCTATTGTTAGAAAAGTATAGCCGCACTAGCCTCTGTAAATAAAGAGAAATGTATAAAAAGAAAGAGATAAGCTTTAATAAAGGAGACAAGACCCATTATAACAATAAATTACTCGACCAAATCTAAACACGCCTCCTTCACCTTAAATATAACTAATCCTATCCATGGTTACACGAAACCTTGTCTGCCTTAGCGACTGACTCGCCGTTATACCCTCACAATAGGAAAACATTTGGCAAGTTGTTCCGGTGTTTTAGTTTGACCCTTCTTTTCATCACGTAAATTTTTTGCCATTTTAGCTAAACCAGGTAACGAAAATTTTATACTATCGATAAATTGAAGTTGACCAACTGAGAAAGTAATATATTGCTCTGAATTATTTGCTATGGATACTATTTTTTCATCTGTTACTTTCACTATTTCTTGCATAAAATGGTGAAAATCATAACCACTTCTATTACAAAGTAGTACTGGGATTTTTATTGTTTCTGGATCAATTCGTAATTTAAGATTGCAACTATTGTATGCTGGTTCACGAAATTTTCCTGTAATATAATCATGATCTAATACCTTGTTTTTTTCTTTATCTGGTAGTATTGTTTTACAATATATACATTTTTTTACATGCATCATGTGTTTTCTTTTGTTCATCATCTAGTATACCTCGAATCAATTCTTTTTTTCCGTAATATTTTCTATGTGAAGCTCCTAAATATTTCTTGGTTTCTGGATCGAATACCCGAATTTTATTGTATCCTGATTCGTGTAATTTTTCTTCACATATCCAGCATTTATTTGTTGTTTGATATTTTCGCTATAATTCAGGAGTCATTTTTTCACATAGAACTATTTTACAAAGCTTATCTAAAATAATATCTAGATCTTTTTGAAAATTTTTTATTAAATCTTTTATTATATTTTCGGATTCTCTATTAATCACAGGTTTTTGCGTTGTTCCATCTGAACAATAAATAGTATATCCATTGTAAGAGGGAGAATAAAATAATGGGTAACGCGATTCAGGCCACGTGACCAACAATCGACCCGGGGATTGCGAAAAGAAATGTAGAACTGAAACCGGCACTAAAAGTGAGATAAAAATGATCTAATGAGCGTTTTATTATGTAATTAGTGTTAGAAACAAATAGAATTTCCTTATCTTTCATCATGTTTCTACAACTTTTTAATAATTTCTATTGAAAAGTGTATAAAAATGATAACATTTAATAAAGAAAAAAGGGAGAATCACCATATAAAACAATAATTAAAATACTCATCTGGGCCAAATCTAATGCCTCGTCTCTTCGATTAACTTTATTAAGAGTGAACCGGCGGTTATGCAAATTCCATCATCATTTAGCGACAGACTCGCCGTTCCGTCTTTCACATCATATGAAACTGCTATCTGCTTTGCTTCTTTTATGGTATTTCCTTCTTTATCTTTTTCCTCTGCTTCGATTTCTTTTGCTTCTAAATCCATAGTAATTAGATAGGATTTCATTAATATATTCTTGATATATTTGAATTTCACATAATTATTACCTTCTTCTGGAAAAATTAAATGTTGTGAGGCTTTACTTGGACCTGGACATGTAAGAATATGTTTTTGTAATAGATTTAATCTACTATATGGAAATCGCAAGCATTTTCGACAGAAATATTTTTTACCATAATAGTTATTCCACTTATGCATTAATCGTGTGAAATCTGTTATAAATACATAATGTGTTTTTAATCCTTCTGGTATATTATTTGTATTTTTTCGATCATTTAAATTCTCTTTACCTTTCGTTAAATATAATAAATCTATCATATGTTTGACTTGATAATTTCTTTTAGAGATATGTAATGAATTTATATCAACTTTTATTTTTCTGAACACTTCTTTATACACTGGCATAAATATATTTATAGCATAATTAGAATTGTTTTCTTCGAATTTATCTATATCATATAGTGTGGCAAGAAAATTTATATTATTAAAATTAGCAATATTCGCATTTTGCCTAAGTCTTCGAATTTCATTAAGATGGGGTGGCTTCCTATTAGCTTTTAATACTTCCTCTCTTGTATGATATGCACTTATACACCATTTAAAACACTCGTTATCATCATTATTTTGCAGATTAATTAATCCTAGTTGAGGTTTATCCAAAGCTTCTGATAAAGGTAAATAGTTACTACCACGTAGTGGCCTGAATGCACTTATCTCAAGAAATACTTCTTCTGTTTGAACAAATGACCATCCTGATTCTTGTATTGCTTCATCCTCAATTTGGTCTATAATTTCATTATATCCTTTTTCTATAGTTGCGTTAATTCGATCTTCTCTAATAATTTCTATAGTTTCATGCTTGAAAGAAAAAGTTTTGTATATACAGGGTGATTCAAAATTTTTTTGGAAAAATCTTTTATCATTTAATTTCGTGACCATTGGGCCAATCACAACACACGATCACTCATTAGAAAGGTAAGAACCCATAGTTTATTTTAATAATAATTTTAGTAATCAATATAATCACCCTTATTCTTTATTACTAACTTACACCTAGTCGTCATAGATTTAACAGCATTTTTTAGCTTAATTTCCGGGATTGCGTCCCATTCCTCCTTCAAAAATAATTCTAATTCGTCTAAATTCTGCGGGGTTCTCTTCTCGACGTTTGCCTTTACTATGTCCCACAAGTTTTCGATCGGATTTAGATCCGGGCTATTGGCTGGCCATTCGAGAACTTTGGGGACATGAGACTCTAAATACGACTTTGCAACGTGGCTCATATTTTTCGGGTCATTGTCTTGTTGGAACCGCCACCTCTTTCCCATTAACGCCTTGGTATCCCCAATATTTTTCTCTAAGATACTTACATAGAATTCGCCCGTCATTATCCCTCTAAAACAAAATAAATCAACCTTATCCACTCTACTAAACCCTTCCCACGCAAAGATTTTTGCTCTATTTTTAGGAATCGGTATAATCGGTCGGGAACCCTGGTATCACTGCCCAGTGGTGTTACGGAAAAGCTGAAAAGCAGTTTCGTCCGTGAAAAAAGTCTTACCCCAATGATCCTTCAAGTGTTTCTTGGCCCACAATAACCGGTTCTTCCTTTGGAGACGTGTGAGCATTGGCACTGCTTTGGGGAGGTCATTTTTGTAGCTGAGAGATTTTAAATGCCGCACGAGAGTTGGTTGAGAGATTGCCCCACCTAATTTTGCCACTAAATTCCTTGTTGATATGAATGAATTTTTTTCTATATAGCGCCTGATCTTTTGTGATATTTCCTTTGTGACCACCCCCAGACGACCAGCCCCTTTTAACTGTTCGACATTTCCTGTCTTACTAAGCTTCTGAAGGTTGTAATAGATAGTTGAGAGAGGGATATTAGTTGCGGTATGTATTTCTTTTGCACAGCGTTTACCTCAGTTCCAAAAAGATAAAATTATTTTTCGCTTGTCAGAGAGGGTGGTGGCGGTCATTTCAACTTCACTGTATGTCATGGAAGGGGAGTCAAGAAACTAAGAAACTATGACGAAGTTTGCTAAAGATCCACTTCTATACCTGTAAAGTTTGGTGGCACGTTCTTGTCTAACTTTAGTTAGTCAACTATGTACAGATCAGCCGCATCAATTTTTCAAATAATTTTGAATCACCCTGTAGGTTCTGGTGTTTCCGGTTTTTTTTTCTTCATATATGCATATAACACGATTCTTATCTTTAATCCTTCTTTTAAACCTAATTCTCTTTTATATACATTAGCAATTTTTTTCTCAATTGATTCAAAGAAGCCTAATGGCTCGTTTTTCGCATAATAACCTTTTGGCACAAATGTATAGTAATCACATACTTCTCTTTTATTAAATTTTTCGGTTTCCGATATTCTATTAATATATGGATCTTTGATTTTTTCAAAATAGATATTTGGATCTTCATCGGTTGTATCATATTTTGAATCACTTGGTTCACTATCTTCATTATTAGTTTCCATTAAATCATACCATTCTTCATTTGTTTTAGGTATAGGATTTGATCTAATTTTTTTATTATTTTTAATTCCTGGTTTTGTTAACCATTTTATCAACTCATCTATCATTAAAACTGATTTCTTTTTTTGTTCTCCTTGAATAATAGAACTTGGACCAGCTTTTATATTTGGAATATCATCAGTTAAAAGGTCAACAGCTGGCATATTTTCTTCTCTCAGCTGGGCTGGCTGATGCATCAGTTGGCTTTCATCAAATGATATGAGATCATTCTCTGGAGCTGATGCTGAATTTTGAATGGATGGGTTTCCTACTGGAACTGGGTTTTGCATTAATCACAATGCTGATTGATATTGACCCTTTCAAAGATTTCCATTTAAATTCATGTGTTTATTAAGATTTCGGGTTTTACTAATTCTTATTTCTTGATCACAACCTAGGCATTTAAGTATCTTGACCATAGCGATAGATATTTGGTGTTTTTTATTAATAATCAGATCTTTTGTTTAAATTAAAATAATTAATTCGGTTATATAAATTTATTAAAATATTTAGTAAATATATCAAAAAACAAGATAAATATATTGAAAAGTGGGGTAAATATATATTTGAATATATACATAACTCTGGAAAAATTTATGGTCGTGGGTGCCGACGTCTTGAAGAATGCCATGAACACTGGAAAGCAAAAAAACGTGTTTTATGTCCAGATTGTGGTAAGCCTAATTCTGCTGGATCTGGAACATGTAAAAAACATGCTAAAGACTATTACGTTATGCAGTTTTATAATCGACAACTAAACAGATAACTAATGCTCTGTTATGCTTCTTATTCGAAGTCGCTATGCTCCTCTAGATCAGAAAGCTAATTGTTAACTAAATAGATAACTATGCTTCGCTTCACATCCGGAGTTACTTGAGTGAGACCAGAAAAAAAAATATACTCTTCGAAGGGTGTAGGTTAAAAAAAAAATACACCATTCATGTTAAGATATGAAAAATAACTTATATATCAGGATCAATCCAAAATAGTAAAAACCCCCCATATTCTAAAATACACCGGCCGTGTACCTAAAAAGCCTATTATTCTATTACTAATAAAGACTAAATAAATTCAAAAAGTTATTGTATAACTATTATCACTTGAATTTCCAAGAAGTTGTATTCTACAGTATTTAAAAAAAATAATAATAGTCAATAACAATATTAGATTGTTATATACATTATGTTAATAATTAAAGAATTTAATAAAGTAATATATAGTAACCAGAAATTCTAATTACTTCTACAAATAAAGCTGGTAATAACAATGCAAATTTCTTACTTATCTTTTAATAATATAAATCCATTATACAAGATTAAATAATAATATTTATAAGAAACTTCAATTTTATTATGTCTAATTACTTTTTTTAACAAATCACTACTCTATATTCAAATATCTTCTTTATTTTTTTTTGCCTTATATTTGAGTTAAATCTTACTCAAATACTTAAATAGTATAGTTATATATACTGTAATGGAATAATTAATTTCATTATATTATTTAATTATTATTATTATTTTCTTATTATTATTTTAGCTTCTTTTGATATTATTTTAGTATTATCTTATGAATTTATTCTTGAAATTATTATTTATAGGAAGGAATAGTGTCATAATTCAAGATAGTTGTACGTCGGAGGTCACGTGACCACGTGATTAACTTGTGAATTCTCGTCAATCCTTTAATAATTTCTATAGTTTTGTACGGCGAACGATCTTCGGAGCGAAATATCGCATTATTTAATTAGAAAACTAGTCAAAGTTGTTCTATCAAACTATAAGCAAAATGACTAGAAGAACATATTTTATTAAGATTACTAAAGCTAGTTACTTAATAATTTCGAGTAATTTAAGGATGTTCATCCTGAACAAAATTATTGTTCATTATTGATAAATGAGTAAAGGGATGATCATACAACTAAAAACAATATATAAGGATGGCCATTTCGCCCTTCTGGAGGACAACATAGTTATAGATTCCTTATAATTGTAATAATTACATTATTTAACCTTTATTCCTTTTCCTAATCCTTAATAAACTATTATTTATTTTTATTATTAATTTAATAAATCTTGTTAATAAATTCTCTTATATTTTAAAAAAAAACTCTTTTCCACAACATCTCCATTTGTAGAAAATTGCCTTTTTAGGAAGCTTCTCTCTTTCAAGAAACTTTGTCTAGCAGAATATATTCTTTTGGAAGAGGACATAAACTGAAGGACTGATTTAGAGCAGTAGAGGTCTCAAGGATAAAATTGGCCCCTAGGGTTTTTAGCAATAAAGTCCACATTAAGAGGTCTAGTGCTTGGTAATAATACTGGGCAATAACTTGGAACAGAAAAGAAAAATAAAAAGAAAATTCTTTATGTGAAGGCCATCTCTATACATAACTGCTACAAAACAACCACATTTCTCATTCTTAACTCAAAAACAATCCTATTCTCAAGAGGCAGCATTTTATTTTTTTAGAGTTTTTTTTGTTTTCTGCTGATGATAAATAGTGCTAGATTTCACATAATCTTCTGGCTAGTTACCAGTCCTCGTCCACAAATTTCAACACAAAAACTGCAACTAGCTTACCCTATCTAATAATCCGCAACACACAAAACACCAATCACATTTTATATCACTTTCATATATCAAAACAACATAATAACTTACCGGATTGGGAGAGCGTGTGATCAGTGCCCTGCGCGGGTTCCGGTAACTACAATACATGATATCTCACCACAACAATATAATAGACATCTGGAACATATTCCAGTTATTCTATTATTCACATTACAACACTACCAAATCATACAATAACAATATCACAAAACATCACACAACCAAATCCATCAAGTTATATATGGCTTGCGCAGTGCTGACATCCGACTGAAACATCTAATTGCGTTCAGGAACCACATATAACAAAAGTTTCAATTTTTTTCTTCTCTTTTTCTCTTCGACCAAATATTATACAATGCCGGTGATCTTGCCCCAAATGTTTTTTTATTTTTTATTTTTCACAACAAATAGTTTCTCAGGTTTTCCCTGCTCAAGGATTTTTCATATGATATATTTGTTTAATGAGTGGTAGGTTAATATCTATAGCAATATAATTCATATCTTAGTATTAATTATGTAACAAGTTAAACTTTTATTTTATTAATAAAGATCATAAATAATACCTCACTCTAACATTAAAAAAAATTCTCTTATATTTTTATAAATTAATTGACATAAATATTTTGGCAGGCTTGTACATATATTATTGTATAAGGAGAACAGTTCTCACAGTACTAATTGCCATTAAGTTATTAAGCAGAAATATATTGTAATTGGCACAGGGAAAATGGCCCACTTTACTATTTGTGTTTAAAGCTGGTTGAATGATATTCTAATTATTTATAAAAGTTAATAAAGGATTTATTCATCAAAGGGATTTTTAAAAGCCTTAATCCTTGAACACAAAGTCTTTTGATAAAGGATTATATGCCAAATCTTATATTTCCTTCTCAAACTCTTCTTTATTACTAAATTTGATCTCAACAATCATATTATAATATCTGGCAATAATCATATCATAACACTATCTCTAAAGCTTCTGCTGATTTGATACCTGCTGCCAGCTCCATTGTACATGTGTGTCTTGGTTTTCTTTCTACTTCTCTTGGTCTTTGCTCTTCTTCTTTCTCTTTATATGCTTCCTTTACTCCTGCTCTAATATCTGCTCCTTTTCTATTTTCACTTTTCTCTTCTGTTTCTGTATCCCCCTTTTCAATCTTCATTTCTTGTTTTTCTGTTGCCTCTTGCATTTTTTTCTTTGCTTCTTCTTTCTTCTCTTTTGTTTTTTTTCTTTTTTCTTTTCTCATATTTATGCTTGTTGCACATACTGGTATTTTTTTTTTCTTATTCAAGCTTTTAAGTCTTCCTGGCCCTCTCTTGACAATAGTAGTTGACATTATTTTCACTTCTCTGGTTACATTTATTATTTTCTTCTCTGTGTTCTTTCCTCTTCTTCCACTTGATGTTGTTGCTTAACTGACTTCCATTTTTTTTTTCACTTTCTTGTCACTTTTTTGATTTCCTAAAAAGACAAATTTTTCTGTGTAAAAAAGAGTATAAAATCTATTGTTATATTTTGTATTATCCAATTTTTATCAATAAAATGTGCAGTTATAGTTAAAAATACTTTCATTGAAACCAATGTCCAAATATCTAATGTAAAAGAAATTTGGTTTCCTGTTTCTTATAATATTTTTTGAATTTTTTCTTGATCGTTTAAATAAAAATTCATTATACTTGTCTTAATAGAAGTAGCTGAAGGTATTTTTATATCTGGTGCAAGTATTTGTATAAAATCAAGGAAAGCTGGTTCTTGAACAATTGTAAATGGCCGTTGGTTTATAATAATCTAATAGACAAGTTTTTTTCATTTTTGCAGAATCGTATATCTATTAGATATAAATAAAATTTAGTAATATTCTTTACAATTTTGAAATATTTCAAAAATTACCTTTGTTTTAAAAAAATTTACTATATTAGAATTACCTGTTACTAGATTTAATTTTGCTGGATATGTTTTTTCAAGATGTTTTATAAGATTAGAAGTACTACTTTCACTATATATATATACTGTTCTACAATATTTACAAGTAGCCTTTTTGTCATTTTTAAAATTTCAACTTTTTATAAAATGTTTTCATGCTTTGCTCCTAGAAATTATTGAAGTAATTGAAGTAGTTTCTGATAAATTGCTTGTATTGACATTGACATTGTCATTATTATTATGGCTTGTTAAACTACCACTTTCTTCATACAAGTATTGCATATTATCAGATAAGTTTTCATGTTTCATTTTTAAAAAATATTTAAATTATCAGAAAACAAGCTGCATTAATTAAAGCAGTTAAAAATAAAGCTATAATATTAAAATAATTTTTTAAAAATTTTTTATATAAAACTTATTGAAAATTTTAAAAAAAAACTTTTTAAAATCATTAAAAAATTATTGAAAGGATAAAGCAAACAGATATTAAATTTTTTTAACATAATCTTTTATACATTAGTAAAAAAAACAAGTTTTTCATTTTAATTTCCTAGTTAGTTTTATTTAAATAAAATTAAATAGCTATTTAATAATTTATATAGACTAAGCTATATCTAATTCAAATCCAATTTGTATCTGACCAGATTTAAAAATTTAAATCTGATTTGATTTGAATTTGATCAGATTAAAAATTTTAAAATTCAATTCGATCCAATTCATATCTGATTCATGAATTAGTCAGATTTAAATAAA